GATTGTTCTGAATGTCTGTGTCTCTCCCCAGCACCAGCTGCCCCGGATTGTGACTAACCCCGTGAGTATCCAGCCAAACAGCGAGGAGCTAGGCAGAGCCGGGCCAGAGTCAGGGTTTTCTGGATATTTGCCCACCCTCCTTCCCCCAATGGCTCCAGCCTTGGTCCTGCTCCTAAACCCACACTCCCCTCCCCCCGGCCGTCCTGGTGGCAAGGTGCAGGCAGCTGCACCTAGCTGAGCGTGGTTAGGGCAACAGATCCACAGAGCCAGTAACAACCAATGTGTCCACTAATTTGTTCCACCCATGTGCGGAATAAAATGTGTTGCACGCACTGAGGCATGGGCAGGTGTGCACCACTCACAGCGACACAGGATGCCGGTTGGGGGGGGCTCTGCTAATCCACTAGGCGGCACCGAAATCTCTCCTGGGTGGCCGCCTGAGCGCGCGGCTTTGCGGGACCAAAGCCACGCTGTCCTTCCAGGGCCTGATAAGCCTGGAGGTGTGTGTCAGCCTCTCCTGCTAGGGGATTAGCTCCTGGTGCTGTGATGGGCGGGAGGGGGGTGGTTCAGTTCATGTGCAGAATCAATTTTGTTGCGTGCACCAGTTCTGGGCAGATGTGCACCAGGTTGTGCACTCCATCGCCCCTACCTCCCGTCTCCAGATCTCTCCACCTTCCACCCCGCCCAGGGGTCGGGACGGCCTCCCCTCCCCGCCCACGGGTACTGTGACCTGGGCGATTCTGGGCTCTCTTTTCAGGCCATCCCATTCCAAGTGGCCCTACCAAAGAATGCCTACCGCAAGATCACCTTGGTGGGGAACGTGCCTTTCTATGCCAACAGGTGGGTTTCGCACGCAGCCGGGAAGGGGCCTGCACTCCCAGCTGAGGGGAGCGGCCAGGGGGGGCGGTGGAGGAGGACGGGAGGGAATCCCATTGAATCCGGTCGCTGGCTAAACCAATTAAGCGGGATCCAGGCTGGGCACAGACAGGCAGGGTGGGGGCCAGACACAGGTCCGTCCCCCTCCCCGCTGCGCCCTGGTCTGGTCCATTTCGCCCGGCGGCCTCGCCGTGACCCGCGCTGACCCAATCCCGCCTCCTAGATTCCACGTCAATCTGAAACACAGCTTGACCGGGAACATCGCCCTGCACATCAACCCCCGGCTGAAGGAGCAGGCGCTGGTGCGCAACACCCAGACCCACGGCACGTGGGGCTCCGAGGAGCGGCAGGTCTCCACCCTGCCTTTCTCGCCAGGCCAAGCCTTCCAGGTGAGCCCGGGAGGCGGCTGTCGGAGCTGGGGGGGCTGGGCAGCTAGGAATCAGGCAGTGGGGAAGGACACAAGGGGGCACCAGCCCCCCTCGCCCCGCAGCGACTCCTCCCCATGCCACCCTTAACCTCAGGGAGCGCTGCCCCTAGGAGGGTGCGGGGCCCAGGACATCCCCCCCTTCTCCGTCCCAGGGCCTGCCTCTTCCCATCCCCATCCTGCCACCACTACACTCCTTCCCCAAGCCCGCTCTAGTGCCCTGCCCCGTTCCACTCCACCCCTTCCACCAAACCCCTCCCCCTGAGCAATGAGGGGGGCTAGGAAACGGAGTGGGGTGACCCCAAGCCTCGACCCTCTCCCCACATCATTTGGGAGGGTACATGACCCTTTATCCTACCCCCAACGTGTCGCCTCTGGAATCAGGGACTCCCCAGAACCACAGGCCCCGGTGAAACTAAATCCATCAGCCCCATTTCATGCTGAGACAGCACCCTGGCCAAGAAAATATTTTTTCCCAACTTCAGAGGGGCCTTGCCACTGTGGGGGAGGAGAGAATTTCAATTTACCGGTATTGGAGTGGTCCAGACACAGAAAGGCTACGTCTCGAATGGCATGATTTTCCGGAATTGCTTTTAAACGGAAAAGTTTTCCATTAAAAGCATTTTCGGAACAGAGCGTCTAGATTGGCACGGACGCTTTTCTGCAAAAGCACTTTTTGTGGAAAAGCATCCGTGGCCAATTTAGACGCGCTTTTCCGCAAAAAAGCCCCGATCGTCATTTTTGCGATCAGGGCTTTTTTGCAGAAAACAAATCTGAGCTGTCTACACTGGCCCTTTTGCACAAAAGGACTTTTGCCCGAATGGGAGCAGCATAGTATTTCCGCAAGAAGCACTGATTTCTTACAGTAGGAAGTCAGTGCTTTTGTAGAAATTCAAGCGGCCAGTGTAGACAGCTGGCAAGCTTTTCTGGAAAAGCGGCTGATTTTCCGGAAAAACTGGCCAGTCTAGACACAGCCT